AAAAAACAGCTTGGATTGCTATTTATAAATGCATTAATTTCTTGTGTACATTTGTGTAGATGCGCTGCAGCCTATGTGCTTCTAGCAGAGGAAGAAGCAACAACTATCACAGAAGCCGAACGCCTTTTTAAAAAAGCTCTAAGTATTGGTAAGGATGGTTTTTAATGCAGTACAATAAAGTACTCTAGGGCATAGTAGTACAAAGAAAGTAACTCAACACTGTGTATTTATCCTGCTTGTGCTGCATGCCCTTACCCACGTTGTGCAGTTTAGTACTTCAGTATGGACCTCTCAATATGCCACAGATAGATATAATACAGCAAAGTGTTTTATTTTTTTACACTCCCTCTCATGATGGAAGAATTACAGCTCCAAGATAACATGAGTGCTCTACACTGGACCACAAAATGTAGCGTGATATTCATATACAATGCAGTTTCATTTGTTTTGTTTTTTAAACTCATGGTTATTTTGCTTTGCAGTGAAATATTTTCTCTTTGCAATACAGCAGGAAAAGATATCAACCTACTAGTATATATTAAACGCAGATTGGCAATGTGTGCACGCAAGTTGGGGCGAATTAAAGAAGCAGTAAAAATGATGAGAGATGTGAGTATCACCTTGAAACATGTTTACTGCAGAAAGTATGTTACTAAGTCGACATGTTTACTGTACCTAAAACTGTGAACCTTAATATGTTTTATCTCTTTACAGTTAATGAAGGAGTTCCCATTGTTGGGAATGTTAAATATACACGAAAACCTCCTTGAGGCTCTTCTAGAGCTTCAGGCATATGCTGATGTGCAAGCAGTCCTTGCAAAATATGACGGTAAGACTAAACGCAACAAATATTTAATTACAATATCAACATACCATGATTTTGCACAAAGTAGGTCAGTCATTTGAGTTGTGTGCCCAGTCACATAAACACAACTTCTGCTTCTACTTTAGACATCAGTTTGCCAAAATCAGCTACTATATGCTATACATCTGCGCTGCTGAAAGCACGGGCTGTCTCAGATAAGTAAGTTGTCTTTTCTCTTAGCTTCAGTTGTTGTATGTGTTTGCCCTAACTTTGTCACGAATGTGAGATGTGATTTCTTAGGTTTTCACCAGAGGCAGCATCCAGGCGGGGGCTAAGCACAGCAGAGATGAATGCTGTGGAGGCCATACACAGAGCCGTTGAGTTCAATCCCCACGTGCCAAAGGTCAGTCATTTATCTGACAGCAAACATACATTAGTGACCAGATGATCTTTAAACCAGGCTGTCAAACACAAAGCCCGGGGCCAGAATGGCCCCACCAAATTCTCCATTCCAACCCACTGGACGGCTTTGGAAAATCTGAAGGAGGGCATAGATTTTGCATTTTTAACTGTTTTGGGGTTTTTTTGCATTTGTTTTACATTTCTGGCTTTTATTGGATAGTTTAGACAGGACAGGAATTTGGGTAGAAAGAGAGGGGGAAGACACTCAGCAGAGGGTCGCAGGTACGACTCAAACCTGGGCCGCTGCCGTGCGGCATGTGGTCGCCTGCTCACCTACTGAGATAAAGTGGTGCCCACTTTTCACTGTATTTTCATTGTTTTTCCGGTTTTTTTCTTGTTAAGGTTGGCCCCCTTATTTGGTTAACCATTACCCCTTAAACCAAACCTTTTTTTTTTTTTTTTTTTTTCCCAACTCTCTTTCACGATCTACTATGGAAATTTCTTTGGACCGGGTTGAGGGGGGTATGTTAAATATTGTGATTTTAGACATTTTTGGTGCTGATAGAGTTCTCTGTACTACAGCAACATTTCTTATCATATATAAAAACTGAGATGTACTGTTAAAATAATAATAAGCATCTTTACACTGAGAAAACGTTTGTTTTTGAACAAACGGTCTTGTGTCATTGTAACACTGTCAGTTCACGTCCTTCATCCGTGTGCTACAAGTGGTTTGGTGGATTGTTTTTTTTTTCTTCTTCTTTTATTGGATGGATAATTCTGTTTATCCATCACGTTTTACTGGACACAACATCATTTGGAATTGGAAGTATGAGTATGTGATGAAAGTCAAAAGTCACTCTAACCTCACAAAAAACGTTTTTTGGTCACTCAAGAATGTGCTTTCTATTGCAAAATTTCACCATTGCCTTATGTAGATGAAAATGATGAAAAACTGGCATTTTAGAGGCAAAAGGTCAAAGGACAGCCTCACTTTGACAGCTAATGAACTAAAGAGGAAATTCTGACCAGATTTCACAATTGAATGGATACTCAGTTTGTGATACTAGTGTTTGTTGCCCAGATATTAGTCGTGGGCGATCATGGCTCAAGAGTTGGGAGTTCGCCTTGTAATCGGAAGGTTGCCGGTTCGAGCCCCGGCTCGGACAGTCTCGGTCGTTGTGTCCTTGGGCAAGACACTTCACCCGTTGCCTACTGGTGGTGTCCGGCAGCCTCGCCTCTGTCAGTGCGCCCCAGGGTGGCTGTGGCTACAATGTAGCTTGCCATCACCAGTGTGTGAATGTGTGTGTGAATGGGTGGATGACTGGATATGTAAAGCGCTTTGGGGTCATTAGGGACTAGTAAAGCGCTATACAAATACAGGCCATTTACCATTTTATTAAATTATTTCAGAGTCTTGAGTTCATATATTACATGAGTCTGCACAAACATAACGTAAACTGCAACTTTACCTGTAAGGGGAGGCATACAAACAAAAGGCAGAAATTTAGCTTGACGTTACTTTCAATATTACTGCCTCTATCTGGTCTAATCACGCAATACTCACATGGCTGCCATTCGTAAAGGTCCCATTCAGGGCAAACATGAAAAGCCAAGTCAAGCCAAGTCAAGTAAGCAGTCAGTCAATCAAAAGTGAGTTATTTTGACTGTAATAGGTGGTGCAACTACAGCAGCTTTCATTCCATTCGTTCTGTGCTGCTGGATCACCAGGAGATGTCAGTAAAGGTTATTTTCTCACTGGTAGTGTCATCTCTAGATCGTGGATTTTATCCACATTTAAAATTCTACAGTATACAATTCACTTTGATTGTTATTATATTAATATTTATATATCTTTATTATTGTTGTAGTTATTATACAATGTATACAAATTTGATCAGCATATTTCATTTTTTTAAGTCAGAAAACTACTTTTGGTATCAAGTCTATATTGTTTTTACCAGTGTTTTAGTGCACAGAATATTTTTTAACTTGGTGATCAGTTGGTCATATTATCACAGCTCTGTCTACAGCTGGACCAGGAGAATATGGGACTCTGGCTGCATATCTCTTTTCACATCAGTTCCCACAGGTTTAGATGTCACACGTCCACATGCACACAGATTGATACACAACCAGATGCAGCAGAGTTTTGTCCCAGTTCAGCCTTTGTAGTGTGGTGTTATTTCATTTCACAGACTCCTATTCTGAGAGAGAGAAAGAGAAGCTGTGTGTTTGCATGCATGGAGGGGGAAACATCAGCCAGCACTTTGATCCAGCCTTTGATTTTAAAGTGAGGGCCCTCATCTTCAATATCTCTCCAACTGCTCCCTTCCCATTCTGCCCAGAGGCAGCCGTCCTCTTTCCTCTCATCACGTACCCTCATCCTGTTTCTTATCCTCTCATGTTCCCTTATCCCCTCATCCCTTGTTTGAGGCAAACAGACAGTCTGAATGTCACACTGCCAACTTTGTCAAAATGACTTCTTTGAATTTAGGTGAATGGCTAAATGACATTATGAAATTTTAACACACCTTTCATGGAGGATTATTGGACAGCTCGTCTTTCAGCGTTTGACTGTGGAATCTGGTGCATACTCAGTGCTCTCATAGCAGAGCACTGGGTATGGAAATGCAACAGTAGGGAAGGAGGGGGTGTTGCTTTGTGTTGTCTGGCATGTCTAAGAGATGAGTGCACCTGCGACTCCTTTGGCCTCTTTAAATGGGCGGGCTTGTTGTCACCAAAAGCAGATTTGGTGCATGAGGCTTAAAAAAAAAAAAAAAAAAAAGAACATCTGAGTTTAGTTTCCTCAGCTGTAGGACTACTGTTGCTTTGGCAAAGTTTCTAATACAAGAACTATACAGGCCAGATCACACCATCGTGTTTCCATCAGCTGATGAAAACGTCAGAACTGTTAAAAAGACAAAGTCTGAAAACAATCAACATCTGCTCATTTGAACTGAAAGTGATTTTATGGCTATCAGAGTCATTTCTCATTTTTTATAGTAATTGGTTTCAGTACAGATTTAATGTCCTACCAAAGCATCTACACATTTCAGATAAACTTCAGACAACATTAAACGCACTAAAAAAATAAGCAATAAACTAAAGCATGTACGTGAGACCACAGAAGATGCATTATAGTTGGCTTGATAAGAGAAGGGGAGTATGTTTTTGTTACTGTAAAGACTCCAGAACAGATTGTATTGCACTCAACCGGTGCAAGCAGAGTAGAGGGGCTTTGGCTGTTGTGATCCAAAGTTTAGAGAAATCATTGGGCAAAAGAATAAGTAACCAATTTCCAATCTGCAGGTTAAATCTACATAAGAAAAAAAAAAAACAGCAACACCTGAGGTGAGTGCAGGATACATCATAAGCCTCCAGCAGCTGAGTGATGTGTTAAACCTCAAGAAGTAGCAACAAACCAAACTAATTCATAGTTTACAGTCATGCTTGTGACTTTGTGAGGCTACAATTGATTAAGGGTGTTAGCCATAAATTCTTTTTTCCAGAGCACTGGAAAACAATTAATGGCAGTAGGTGAAGAATTAAGTTAGTATAGTATAACAACTTGTGCTTTGAGGACTTATATTAAAATATATTTGTGTAGGTCTTGATATAGCATACTTTAATATTTCTCACTGCAGCCAAAAGGTCATCATCCTAGGTTGATAGATGAGATCACCACCATTGCAGTCCTTTGGATTTTCAAGCTACTTCTCAAAAACAAATGTAATAAACATTGAACTACTGGCAAGTCAGCAGAATTTATTCTCTGTATAATGAGAAGACGTGACAAACGTTATGATCATGCTTTCATTTCAGTCCAAACTGACTTTAGTCAGACTGTCGTTACCATCCGTACAGTCGAACAATAAAAACAGTGCAGTAGCCTGTGGTACACACACAGATTTGGAATACTGAAGGAGCATTGTTGGGCCAAGCATTAAGTGGCGAGTGTGTTATCAAGCATGCCAAGCAGATTATATATGAATATAATACTAGGCTACATCACATGAGTTCATTCAGACTGCTTAAAAGGCTATGCACACACAAAAATCTACATATACAGACACACACACTTGATTTGCACAGCTGCTTCAGTGCTCTCGCTCAGCCCCTTCTCCTCACCAGCTTTTCATCCATCTAATTTCCTCCTCTTCTCTTTTGCTCCCTTCTATTTTCTTCTCCTCCTCATCTTCTTGTCCTCTTCTATTTATCCTCCACTCATTTCTACATCTGCCTGTCCATTCCAGTTATCCTCTCTAGCAGCCAGTGGTTAAGAAACTGACAGTTTCCCAGATGCTTGGATAACTGATCGAATGTCCCTGCTTGCTAAATCTGCTTTACATTTATTTTTACTACCATTTTTGCTAACATGCATTCAATCTGAAGCGCTCAAAGCGACCCGGGCCTATTTACTTTGCTAGTTTACCCCACTTTAAATGGCAGTTTTTTATCTCCCCCAATTCTCAATGACATTCTCTCCTCTAGATTGCCTGTCAAGGCTCAGAAAACCAGAGTTTTTTTCTTAGTGTATCACTGAAATTGGCTGTTTGGTTTGTAAATTGAGACGGAATAGGAGCGTTTGTGTTTGTTCTGAATTAAGATGGACGAGGTTTCATCCAGATGACAAAAATGGGGTTGTTACAGGAATTGGACTGTGGCTTAAGTTTCGCCCACTTGGGGACAAATATAAGTTCCCTTACCTGTGGCACAAGATGAAGTAGCTAGTGTCAATGTTTGTTAAAATGATATATTTTACATTTTTTAAAAAACTTTTCTTTGTGTTTTTCCATTGTTCATATGTTTGGCCAAAAATGATAAACAACTACAGGGTTGATGGCAATGTTGCCTCTGTGCTTCCTTGTGTGCGGCAAAGTGCCGCAGATTAGAATCAAAAGGAAGCTTATGAGTTATGCTCTGAGCTTATGACTGCCCAGGGATGAAAGGAGAACACATGAAATTCAATCCCTTCATCAAAGAGGCGACAGGGAGTGCAGAGGAAGGCTGCAGAACAGGGAGGTGGGGGTGTGACTGAGGTGTCACCAGTTCTAATGCCGTGGCATGCAAGGAAGGACAGCTGAGCAGCCAGCCGCTCTAAATGGTTAGTCTTAAAACTTAGAAACACCCAGACATATGTGTGCCATGTGCTGTCCACTCATTATTAACAACAGAGATAAAAATGCATGCGAAAATATTCAGGTTTTACTAAAAAATATGTGTAGATACAGTGGTGCTTGAATGTTTGTGAATCCTTTAGAATTGTCCTAATTTCTGGATGAATATCGACCAAAATATCATCAGATTTTCTCGGAATACCTAAAAGTACTTGCAGTTAACCCAGTTAAAAAATTAGACAGAAATATTTACAAGGAACATGATCATTAAAAGCTTGTGAATCTTTACTATAGCAACATTACGAGGTACTGTGGGATGTTGGTGGTGTTTCTTACATGAACTGCTTGTTTTAGTTCCTTCCAGCATGATTATTAGTCAGGATTTTGACTTAACTCTTCTAAATCCCCACCTTTGTTCTTCTTTACTGTTCTTTTGTAGAAGAACATCTATGATTATGTCATTGTATTGCTGCATGAGCTGCTTTTCCTTAAAAGTTCACCTTTAGGATTATTGATGCCACCTACACCTAAAGAAAATTGAATGCCTGTCCTCAGTTAATACATTATAAGTATAATATCCCTGTATATTTTATAGGGTTCTTAGTGTCTGCTTTTGTATAAAATTAGCTGATGTTTTAAGCTCAAATATATTGAAATACAGGAAATAATAATAATCGAAAAAACAACCTGTTTTACTGAATGAACGACTTGGCTTTCTTGCTGATAAATGGTCTGAATTAAAGCTTGCTTCCATGCTCACTAAGTTCTTTCTTCTGTTTTATGCTATCCTTTGTTGTGTTGCATAAAATTAATGTGAATTATTATAGCAGTTAGGGAGGTTTTATAATCCACCACAATAAACCAGTGATAGGTTTCGTCTGTGGTGGTCGAGCTGGCTTGCTGCCTCTCCTCTGAGAGGGAATAGAGCATGGTGAAATGTTTGTGCTGAGAATAAAGGAAGGAAGAAGATGAAGACAGTCAAGTGCCTTGGCTGAACCGAGTAGAGCTGATGTAAGTAAGTCAGACAGGATAAGTGAGAAGGGCAAACAAGCACCTTCTGGTTGTCTCTTGGCTGCCGATTGCTGTTACAGAAAATGTCAGG